CTCCCCATCTTAGGCGACCCCTAGCTGACTGAGCCTCACCCCAAGCTGGATGGGCGGGCGGGGGAGCAACTCGTGCAAAAGTAGTAGCCTGACTCCTCTGCTGAACTGGATCTCGTGTAAGGCAGGGACAATATTTCCTCACATGACCCAGCTCTCCACACTCATAGCAATCCCTCTCGAAAAATGGTGGCGAGTTCTGAGGCGGACCTCAAGAACCAGAATAACGACCAGAAGAACCTGGTACAGATGATCCCTGAACTGAAGGAGCACGTGGCAAACTCTGGGCTACCAGGGCACTGAGAGATAATTGACCCTGATGAGAACTATATAAACCATGGCTGGGTGATGCACCACGGTGAACTGGATGACCCGTCTGAGTGTGCCTGTACGGACGACCCCTGCTGTGGTAGGATACCCTCAAGAAGGTACCCCACCTGAACAGCCCGAACCTCGAGGCCTCTTGGCCTCCCTCTCACTACGTTCCTGGCTACGGACCACCTCTATCTGTCGAGCAATGTCAACCACATCGTCAAAAGTGGCACCAGATATCCTCTCCCTAGTCATAAGCAACTGCAACTGGTATGTGAGTCCATCAATGAACCTCCTAATCCTCTCCCTATCAGTGGGAACCAACCAAACTGCGTGACGAGCCAACTCAGAAAACCTCATCTCGTACTGGGTCACAGACATGCCATCCTACCGAAGCTACTCAAACTATCTGTGCAGCTCTTCCCTGCGAGACTGCGGCACGAACGTCTCAAAAAGAGAACAGAGAACTCTTGCCATGTAAGTGGTACTGCACCGACCAGCCTGCACCTCTCATCAGCCTCCCACCATCCGAAGGCAACCCAGAAAACTGAAAAGTAGTGAACGAGACCCCATTGGTCTCCAGGATACCCGCTGTCCGAAGCATCTACTGGCACTTATCCAGAAATCCATGAGCATCCTCTGACTCAGCACCGCTAAATAATGGAGGTCGAAGCCTCCCAAATCTCTCAAGTCTCCTCTGCTCATCATCTGCCAAAGCCTCCTAATGGCGCAGAATCATAATGGGCACAACTGGTGCCTGAGCTAGTCCTGTCAGCTCAGCTATGTCTAGAATCTGCTCCTGAGCTGGAGCAACTAGTGGTGTTGCTCCAACTGCTATACGAGCTATAACTGGACCTCTACCTCATCCCCGACCTCTACCACAGCTCCGGCCTCTCGCGCCCCTAACTGGTGGCACTGGTTGTTGACTGTCTGGTCCGGTAGTACGTGTCCTCACCATCTGTAAGAGAATAGAATAGCATAACTTTAGTTCTCGGAATCAACAAATTAGCACGTCAGAGTACAAGAAAGTGAAATTTTTCTAAGGATTCGGCAACCTCTCGAAGATAAGTACAAGTGTCTCCGCACCGATCCGCAAAACTCTACTAAACCTGCTCATGACTCGTGAGACCTATGTAACCTAGGCTCTGATACCAACTTGTCGCGACCCAAAATCTCACCTGTCGTGATGGCGCCTATCTCAATACTAGGCAAGCCGACAATCTCAATAAAGTACCATATCTTTTAAATTAAAAAAAATATAATAATTAAATTCAGCGGAAGAGTCTTACAAATATAAATATTAATACTCCCAAAACCCAGTGTCACTGAGTGCATGAGCATATAATATAAAAATAAAGTCTGACTGATAAAATCACTGTTTGAAAGTATAAAACAATACAATAACTGAAAGAAAGAGAGTTAAGGCCAGCGGACTTTAGGCAACTACCTTGATAGTCTCCAACTGATAGCACTCTGAGATCTAACGGTCACCGTATCCGAAAGCACCTGGATCTGCACACGAGGTGCAGAGTGTAGTATGAGTACAAGCAACTCAATAAGTAACAAGACTAACATCTGGGCTAAAAGTAGTGATGAGCTTCGCAGGTACAGTCCAGTACATAAATAATGGTACAGAAATATAGGCATGCTTTCAAGTTCAATAGTTAAAATCAGTACAAGCAAAAATAGATCAATACTGCATGATATGAGGAACATGACATCTCAACGGAAAGACTCATGTACTACTGATCACAATTCATTCGATCACTCGGTACTGTTTATGGCCAATCCAACCCAGGGATATTCCACCCCGTATATGCATACACATCGACAGACAATCAGTCACTCAATACCGTATAAGGCCAATCCAGCCGTGGGATAATTTATCCTCAAATGTAAATAATTGGGACAAGATCCATGTCCAAGGAAATTCATCACAATATAAATAAGTAAGGCAAGTTCATGCCCTAGGAAGTCCATCCTGAATATATAATCATTTACGCCCACTAGGGGTGTGTACAGACTCCGGTGGGGCTCCTTCAGCCCAAGCGTGATATAAAGCCGATATGGCCTACTGCAGGCAGGCAGTCCCGATTCGTATAGTAATAAAGCCTATAAGGTCTGCTGCAGGCGGGCAGCCCCGATCCATATAATAATAATAATAATAATAATAATAATAATAATAATAATAATAATAATAATAATAATAATAATAATAATATAAAGCCAATATGGCCTACTGCGGCGTGCAGCTCGATCCCATAAATATCCTCACAATGGACGAATATGACCGAGTGTGAAATGTATATTTTTAAAACAATTAATTCAATAGAAATACGACCCCGTGGGTCCCAAAATATCGGCACGTAGCCTAAACATGATCTTTAATGAGAGCCTCAACTCAATTTCTCTAACACGTGGAAAATGTTCAGATAATAACATAATTCTTTAATTTTACAACTTCAGATGATTTATTCAAATCACAATTTCTATGGTGCACGTCCACACTCTCATCACCTATCATGTGCATCACCTCCAAACAATTTATATAACACCAAATTCGGGGATTCATACTCTCATAACCAAGTTTAGAAATGTTACTTACCTCAAGCCATATAATTTCTTACTCTGCTATGCCCTTGCCTCGCGAATTGATCTCCGAAAGCCTCGAATCTAGTCATAATTAATTTGATTGAGTTAATATAATTTTGGAATTAATTCCATATGAAAATACTAGTTTTCCAACAAAATCGAAAATTTAACTCAAAAACATCGCTCGTGGGATCCACGTCTCGGAACCCGACAAAAGTTATAAAATATGAACGCCCATTCGACAAAGAGTCTAACCATATAAATTTTACCAAATTTCGACATCAACTCGACCTCCAAATCATCAAATCTTATTTCCAAATCCTTAGGTCCAAATTTCCGATTTTGCACCTCAAAAACACGTAATCTAATCAGACTATTCGATGATAATTCAATATTATGGAGTAGAAATGATCACAAGTGACTTACTTCAAGTTTTTCGTATTTTTCTCTCTGAAAATCGCCCCAAAAAACGTGCTTGAAGGTCAAAAATGGCAAAACTTGGAACTCCTTCGAAATGTATACCGTCCATAGGTTCCGCACTTGCGACTCACTTAGCCGCTTCTACGGTCTCGTAGGTACGAGAATCCAACCGCTTCTGTGACTGCCCCCTTTTGCGGACAAAAATTTCGCTTCTGCGAAGAAGCGCCCGCTTCTGCGGTTTTGCCCAGTCTCCCTTGCCTCCGCATTTGCGACCTTGGTGTCGCTTCTGCGGACTCGCTTCTACGAGATTCTGTCCTCTTCTGCGGACTTCCCGCTTCTGTGATGCCAGGATCGCTTCTGCGAGCTCGCACCTGCGAGCCGAATTTCGCAGGTGCGATTGCATCAGAAGGCAGAAATTTCCAAATTTCTTCCAAGTCCAAAATTTAGTCTGTTAACCATCCAAAACTCACCCGAGGCCCCCGGGACCTCAACCAAATATACCAACAAGTCCTAAAACATCATACGAACTTAGTTGAATCCTGAAATCACATCAAACAACAAATAAATCACGAATCATACCCCAATTCAAGCTTAATGAAACTAAGAAATTTCAACTTCTACAGACGAAACCTATCAAATCAAGTCCGATTGACATCAAATTTTGCACAAGTCATAAATGACATAACGTAGCTATGAAAATTTTCAGAATTGGATTTCGACTCCTATATCAAAAAGTCAACTCCTCGGTCAAACTTCCAAACTTAAATTTTTATTTTAGCCATTTCAAGCCTAATTTAACTACAGACTTCCAAATAATTTTCCGGATACGCTCCTAAATCCAAAATCACCATATAGAACTATTGGAATCATCAAAACTTTATTCCGGGGTCGTTTACACATAGGTCGACATCCAGCCAACCTTTTCAACTTAAGTTTTAAACTTTGTAACTAAGTATTCCCATTCATTCCAAGGCCTCACCAGACCGGAACCAATTACCCCGACAATTCATATAATAACTGTAAATCATAAATTGAGCAGTAGATGGAGGAACATGGCTGTAATACTCAAAACAACCGGCCGGGTCGTTACAACTTTATACTTTTCATGTCCTTTAAGAAACTACAAATAAAATATATATTTTATAATTTGGGGAATGAGTAATTAATGATAAGGATAAAACAAGAAAAAAAATTGGCTTTCTCTTGATTTAATATAGTGGACAAGTAAAAGTGAAAATATATTTTTAGTATAGTGGACACTAAAAGTGAAAATATATTTTTATTATAATGGACAAATAAAAGTGAACGAAGGGAGTATTTGGGAACGGCCATTAGTGGATAAAATAATCCTAAGTTTGATGAGATAGGTTGAGATAAGTGGAATATTCATGATTAAGTGTGAGATTAAATTTATACTAAAAATTTATAGTATAAGGTGTGCGGTATAAATTTATCCCGTCAACCAAACACACACTATAAACATAATTTCACATCTTATCCCACCTTATTTCGCGTACCAAACGACCCCTTATGTGTCTTTACCTTGTTTTCTTCTTTTTCTTCCTTTATGGTGATTAGTGTAAAGAATTTCTTACATTATTGGAATATCAAAAATATATATATTGGGAAGTCTCTTTAAAATTTAAAATTTTGTAATTTTGAAAATAAAATAGATCATATGTTACAACAGGAAAAAGTAACTTAATGCTATAAAACTTCTTTACACAGACTGTATATATAAATCAAACTTTTAAATATTGCTGTCAAATTTAATGACCTTAGGACATGTCCAAAGGACAATTAAATAAGCTGGATAACATATACTACTTTCACAAGCAATCTTCTTGATTTTCCAAAAGGCCTTTCTCTGATTTTCTAAAGTCAACCATGAGTTTGTTCAATTTCTTGTTGCTTATCCTCTGCTGGATTATCCTTGTATCCCTCTCAAAACTATCAAATCAAAAATAGGAATAAAAAGAAAGAGTCATAATAATCCACATCCTTAAAAATGAATACAAATAAAACGCAACCCGGTGCACTAAGCTTCTGCTATGTACGGTGTCCGAAGAAGGACAATATTACAAGAGTCTATTATACGCAACCTTATCCTGCATTTCTGCAAGAGGCTGTTTTCACAGCTCGAACCGTGACCTCCCCTTCAAATAATATGACAAATAATTAATACTCTCTTTTCTGTCATCTCATCTCTTCTATATTCAGTGTTTTTCCCCAACCTAACTCCCCCCAAAGAGTATCGGATTTTTAACAGATTTTTAAAAAAAACACAATTTTTGGCTTATACAATAAAATCTACAATATTTATTATGAGATTTATTTAAATTTTATTGATATAACTACAGATTTTATGACTTTATGGAGAGAAAAACAAAATATATATTATCAGGTCACCTAATAAATAATTATCGATAACCACGCGTAAAATGAAATTACATACTAACCAAGAAAATAAAGCAAGTTAATGACTTACTACCATCATTAAAATATAGTAAACTAAATTAGTGGGTTTAATTCACTAAAAAAAGAAATTAGAGACGGATAAATTATGTGACTAAACAGAAAAATCTATCGTTAATCCTATTTAGCGAAGGATTAGGGATAAACCATCAAAAAAAATTGATAGTTACAAATGATTTAAAGACAGATTAGCGACGAAGTTCGTACCTTGGAGGGGAGGAAGGCAAAGGGAACAATTTTTCAGCAAGCTTAAAAGCATCTTCTGTGGTATTAATGGTGTGATTATAGCACAAATATCGGCCATAAGTTGAGATATCTTCATAAACATAAATGTGAGAATCCACTAAGAAATCAAGATCAACAGTCACAAGAACTCCATCTTCATACATTTCCGCAGCTCCTTTTAAATAAGGATTTGTGATGTTTAAATCAGGATTAATTAATAGTCCTGAGTTGATTGACACCATGTTCAAACCTCTGTCCATTGCCAATGCCCATGCTGTTTTCTCTGCTAGTGTTTTTGCTAAAGCATGCCATAGCTGTATCCATGCAATAAATTAAGCCTGAGTAATCAGGGGCAGAGCAAGAAGTCGAACTACATATTCGATCGAATCCAGTAACTTTCGTTTAAACTCTATATTTGTATTAAGAAATTTACTAAATATGTATTAAACTAAAATCTACTAAGATCTTATGTCATTATCCTAAAACTTAATTAGAACCCATAAAGTTTAAATACTGACTCCTCTGTGAGTAATATACACTACTAGAAATTCGGCAAAAACCGACCAAGGTCGACTGACCAACTTTGGTCGACCAAAGTTGGTCGGTTTTTCAAAATATTTTTTTTTTTTTTTTTTTTTTTACGAAACCGACCAACTTTGGTCAGTTTTCTTTGGCGCAAAAATACGGGAAATTATTTTTGAGTCCCGCAAAATTTATTTTTCAAGAAACCGATCAACTTTGGTCGGTTTTTCAATTAAAATAAATAAAAATTAATATTAAAAAAATCGACCAAAATTGATCGGTTAATTCGGCCAGTCATTTAAAAAGACGACCAACTTTGGTCGGTAGTTTTACTTTTTAATAAAACCGACCAACTTTGGTTGGTTATTTTCGTGCGAAAATACAACTAAAGAGTATAAATCAAATAAAAGGCAGTCTTAAAACAAAATGCACCTATGATCTAGTGGTAGAATAGTATCCTGCCACAGTACAGCCCCCGGTTCGATTTTCAGATGGTGAATCTTTTGATTATATAATTAAAATACCGACCAACTTTGGTCGGACAAAACCGACCAACTTTGACCGGTTTTTTTGTAATATTTTTTTTTTTTTGAATTTAATTGACCGACCAAAGTTGGTCGGTAATTTCCGACCAACTTTGGTCGGTATTCCTTTCCGACCCCTAAAATACCGTCCACACATAAATGGTCGCATTTTGGTCGGTTATTGGTTATTACCGACCGACTTTGATCGATTTTTTTGATCGATTTTTATCGGATTTCTAGTAATGATATTCGGCGAGCAACGCCGGTGAAGAACACAAGCAAAGCTGATGTTTGGATATTGATAAAGGAGGCAGACTAGTAAAAATGCTGACCACTAGGAGGTTTTCTTTTTTTCTTTATTTGGAGGGGTGGGGCGAGGGGGCGAACTTTTACCAACAGAACTTAAGTTGTATGCATTGATATTGATAGTGTAACACACTTAGCTTACTTAAAAAGTAATTGTCTGTAACTCAATTTAATAAGCATTAATTGATAGTTCAAAAATAAATAATAATCTACTATAACATGTTGAATCTAGCATCATTCCTAAAAAAGGACCACACTTTAGTAACTGATTTTACGGTTCACACTTATAAATCACATAAAAATAATTTTATCGTTACTCTAAGATTACGTTATCATTTTGAAAGAAAAGGAGGAAAATAAGAATATAAGAATGTACTAATAATTTAAATTTTGTCATACCTTGAATTTACGACAAAAGTTGATGTCACTCCAATGCCTTTCATCAAGATCCAAGGATTCAGATTTTTTATGATCATGTCCCCAAATAATTGCAGTTGCTGAGGAAGTGAATACAACTTTTTCTATGGTTTCAGTTTGTGCACATGCTTCCAATACATTATGTGCTGTCCTAACCTCCACTTCTGCCATATATTCCTGCCCATTATTCACAGAGTTCTAATTTTATGCATTATAACAAGAAATAATATATTTAGTGTAATTTCAAAAATGAGATTTAGGAAGACTAGTGTGTACGCAGATCTGAAGGCTAGTGTGTACGCAGATTTTATCCTTACCTTGTGATGATAGAGATGTTATTTTCGATAGATTATCGACTCAAGAAAAGCATAATTACAACAATAATGAAAAGAAATACGGTAGTGGAGACACCATGAGAAAAGAGAGCAGTAACAACAACAAGATAATATGCTAACTGAAACACATGAAATAACAACTAGTAAAAGAATTCTAAGAATAAGAAAATACGAGAATAATACTAATGCTACTGGTATGAAAAATAAATACGCTAATCTATCTTTAATTTTATGCATTAATAGTGTAAAAATATTTACATAATCATATCATATATAAGATAGTTATAAATAAAAAAATTAATAAATTCATAATTAATAAAAGTAACAACCAACGTGTTGTTATGACAGATTAAAAATATATTAATCATATAAAAAATCCTGACACGGTCAGAAAATTTAAAATTTATTATTCACAAGATCATGTGTGGACACATGAAATTAGCTCATCAAACTTCCACAAAGAGATAGAGGATAACAGAGAACGAAGTTAGGGGATGGCAATTAGGCAGGAATTAAATAAGTTTTTCATGTCACTTGCAAGGTAATTACATAAATTTTTTATTAATTGAAAATCTGATAAAAATAATAATTAACATGCTATTTCAAATTAAACACAATAATAACGTAAAAAATATTTACACTATTAGTGGAAATAACGTGAAACTCTCTGGGAAATCATGTGTAGACACCAATTGCCCAGAACAGCATCAAATTTCCATTATTAGCTTAACTAAACTAGGACTATTTCCTGTATCAGTAAACCAACTTTAGCTACAAGGTTTAAGAACATTTCTTGACGTGTTCAACATACTGTAGAAATTATTCAGTAGAAATTTTTAATTTGTTTAATAATTAAAACAAAACCATTGCATAGGCAACTCGACTCATTTTTCCCCTCACAAACCAAAGGATGACACAACTCCTAATCAATATTCTTTGGGACTACATAACAAATCTTTACGCAATTTAATATAGTATCAGAGTGGACAAATATTTTGAGTTCGAATATTATCAATATTAACCATCGAAAACGAAATATTATGGCATGTTTAGCTTAAGAAAAGTCACGTATGTTCGCATGTAAAAGGTGAGTATGTGTGTTGTTTATCTAAAATAAACAAGCACAACTATTTATTTGCTTTTTAATAATTTAAACACAATGTTAGATAAGAACATGCACTCACATAATTGATCAAGAATTAATATGAATAATCAACTTATAATAATAAAATGAAGGCTTAATATATAATTTACCCTCGGAGTTTGTAGTCAAATCCCGGTTACACACTCCTCTTTCACGAAAAACCTTTTGTACTCGATTCCAATGTTGTTTCTGTGTCTGTATGTGTCTCTCTCTCTCTCTCTCTCTATATATATATATATATATATATATATATATATTCAAGATAGGAAATAAAATGGTGAGAAGAGTGAACATACATCATAAGCATTGGAGTGGTCCTTGGGAGGCTCAAAGGAATAAAACAAACAAGAACAACCCTTCAAAGCATCAAGTACGCTATGGTAATCAAAAGGGTCCGACTGAAAAACCTCCAATCCCTTTTTGTCATATGGCGGCAACGATATCAACTCATAGTCACCTGACAAATAATGTAATTATAGTTAACGCTGAAGTAACGCTTTTTATTTTAAAAGATACACTGAAATACCAAAAGCGAACGAGTTTCCTACGCCGGGACGTCTGACAGAAAACCAACCCAATACCATAAACAAGAAGAGAATAAAAAAAGGCAAACAATACAAATTATGTTTTGTGAACAATTAAGCTAACTAACCATGATTTTGAATAGCAGCATGGACTGTGAAGCCTCTTTCAAGTAGCCGCTTAACCAAGCTCGAGCCGAGCCGACTAGAGGCATCCATAGCACAGACAGTGTTGGAGATGCAGCGTAAGGAAGCCGACGCCATGAAACCACTGAATCAGTTGGCTCAGCTCTAAAAATTGAGTGACGAGAATCTGTATTCACAAACCTACGAATTAACTTCCCCTTAAGCTAATCAAAGAAAAAGGCGAGGGACTTCTATGTCAATTGGGAATAGTGGCTTATGTTGTGAATTTGGCTGGTATTTATTAAGAAAAGGAAGAAATTAATGTTTCATAGGAGGGTAAGTAGAAGAAATATGTGTATACTCTATATATGAGAGAAGCTAAGCTAAAGAAACATTTAAAGAGCGTGGGGGTCAATAGATGGTTGGTAATTGGTAGTTGGGTAAAATTTTATCGGAATCCGGTGTTTATACTGATCCGGTAAAAGTAAAATATGTGTCTTGCATATACATATTTATCACTTACTAAAATTAAATGAAATGTTAAATTATTTGATTTTCTGTAAATATCGGCAGTGGTAAGCCAATAATTTACACAAGAAGATTAAATAATTTATGACCTAAACCAATTTTTGAACCTTTTTTTGTCACGTCACTGAATTTTTCCCTTATTATATCAACGAAATTGAACAATTTATAAACAAAAAATTATATTTGCCCTTAGCGCTATCATTGAATATCGAATATGAATTAAGTATATACCGGTGGTTGTTTGTCCAAAAATTGGGAGATTTTGTATTGTAGCTGAAGTCACAATCTTGTTGATAAAATTCATAACGTGGAGTTTGGTTTGGCCGTGGCAAATTGTGGTTGCGTAGTATAGAGAAGCCATACTACCACAAGACACACCTACTTCAAGTTACTTCTTGTCTTATTATTTGTTAATTCACATTGTTGGCTTGTTGTACACGTTGTAAGACACTCATCTTACAAAGAGATTGATTGTAAACACATACTACAAAAAAATAATTAGAATTATCTACTAACCTCATCACTAAATCGCTCGTAGTTAGACGTGGCAAACGGGCGGAGCGGGTCGGATATAGGAGGGTAAAAAACGAGTAATGAAGATACGGATAAATTATCCGACCCGACCCATATTTAATACAGATAAAAAATGAATTAATCGGTGTATAATATGGATATCCATATTATCTATGGCTCTTTGAATATGACCACTTTTAGGAGAATTTCTAAACTTTCAAACTCGAGGAATTCCCAATTTGAAGCTTTACAAATGTAAATGTTAAACACATTAGTTATCCATTAATTATCCATTTTCTAAGTGGATAATATGATTCTTATTCATATTTGACCAATTTTTAAAAAATTCATTATCCAACCTATTTTTTAGTGGATGAAATGGATGGATAACTGTTTTTTTAATCTAACAAATGTTTTTGATAATTTGTCGTTAATTCCGTCGTGAATAGAATTGGGGACAGATTTTTCTGTTTAGTCACAAAATTTTGTAAGACACTAATTCGTGTTTTCTTATTAGTGACCCCATAGTTGAGTTTGACTGCATTTTCTCGTACCATTGTTTTCACCCGTGATTTTTTCACATGCAAAGAGAACACAAAATCAACTTTAAAAGAATCTCGAGGCTTCGTTACGTATCTTTCACTCTTTATCTTTCTCCATATGAGAAAAAGACCGAGCTCTATAAAGACAAAGTTGTCTTATTGAGCCTCATTGACCACGTTTATTCTTTCTAATTGAAAAAAAAGACCTCTAGTTAACCTCAATTAGATGAATAAATTACGAGGATATAATTTGTAAATTTAACGAAATAATAATTTATGGTTTTGACAATTTTACTTATTTGGATTATTTATGTCACGACCCAATTTCTCTTATAGGCCGTGATGACGCCCAACGTCGCCGTTAGGCAAGCCAACAGTGAACTAGCCATGTACTTATTCTTTTTAATAAGTTTTCAAGTAATTAAGTTTCATTTATTAAGAGATTAAGGAGTGGAAAACTTAATAAAATAAAATGAACACAACTGAGTAAGCAAATATAGTGACATAAATACTCCAAAACCACAAAGTCTACTAGTATGTGCGCCAAGACCTAATGTCACAAGTGTATGAGCAACTAGTAGAATATACAAAACTATAACTACTATCTAAAATAAAGTAGACAAAAAAATAGATACAAAAGAGAGGCTCTAGGTGCTGCAGAACGGCTCAGCAAGCAACTCACCACTAGGCCTCGGGTAACGGGGTGCGTGCCGATATGACCGCCAGATGCACCTACCTCAGATCCTGCACGATTAGTGTAGTAGTGTAGCGTGAGTACATAAATAACACTTACCCAATAAGTATCCAGTCTAACCTCAAAGAAGTAGTGACGAGGGGTCGACATCGACACTTACTATGGGCTAATAATAAAATGCAGGAATTCTAACTAAGCATGAGTTATGTAAATAATAGATATAACTCAGTAACAAGCAGTGAATAATAATTCTTTCACTAATAATAAAGTCCAAGTCAATTTCTGTCATTCAATAATTATAACTGCTCAAGCCATAAAATAATATCAAGTATAATTAGGCTACGAGTATTATCACGTACGATTTATGCCGAGGTCGTACAGCTCGATCCAAAAATATACTTTGTGCACTGCCGAGGGTCGAACGACACGAACAATAGATGCATCTATTAACCTGCTGAGGCAAACGACCTGCTCACATGAGAGTAGAGAAGTTTACCTCGCTCGCAGAAGTACTTGCGACGCGAGTGGACATGTATTTCTCAGAGTTATTATATATTCCTCAATTCTTTCAAAAAATAAATGAGAAATCTAAATTGGAGAGTTTCAACATTACAATCCCAAATCTCAGTTTTATTTTAGACAATTAATATGCATAATAAACATAACAGTACAATCAAGACATGATGTAAATCTAAGACTATCCGGACATCTCATGGAATATAGCTATGCACGGACTCTCATCACCTAGTGCGTATGTAGCTCCCAACACAAGTAATTCACAACGAAAATACACCTAAAGGGGATGAGTTCCCTCTTACAAGGTTAGGCAAGAGACTTACCTTGTTCTCAAGCTCCCTTTCGATCCACAAATATGATTTAAATCCTCAACTCGGTGCCAAATAACCCAAAACTAGTCAAATATTATATAAATTAATCAATACATGTTCAAAAGTTCATAATTTAAATATTAGAGTAATTACCCAACCCAAATTGAAAGATTCCAAAAATTCACTTTCGGGCCCACGTGCTTGGATTCTGAATTGTTTCAAAGATAGTTGTTACCCATAATCTCACGAACTCAAATATATAATTTTCATCCCATTCCATAATCATTTTCGTGGTTAAATCTCATATTTAATAAAACCTAGGTTTTTCAACTAAAACCATAATTTTTCACAATTTTACATGTTAAAATCTTTCCATAATCTATGTATTTAACTTACATTGGATAGAAATTACTTACCTTCAATAGCTAGGTGAAAACATCTCTCTAAGAAGCTCCATCATCGCCCAAGAAGTGAAAGAAATGAATCCAAAATGGCCTAAGTCCCGTATTAAATGGACCTTACTGCCTCCATCATTTTCGCTTCTCCGAACCTGGGGCCGCATCTGCGGCTCCGCACTTGCGGAAAAGCCATCGCAGGTGCGGTCCTAGCCCAGGCTGGTTGACTCCGCTTTTGCGGACGGGCTTCTTCTTCTGCAGTCCCGCTTCTGCGGAGAGTGGAGCGCATCTACGGTCCAGGGCTGGCCAGCCTCTTCTTTCACTTGTGAACTTCTCATCGCAAAAGCGAGGCCGCTTCTGTGGTGTTCCTCCGCTTCTGTGGACCACTGGCCACATGCCCAAAGCCGCTTCTGCGGCCAAGATCTCGCACCCGCGGGCTTGCACCTACAGCCAAAAGCTCGTAGGTGCGGGCACACCAGAATTGGTGCACCAGCAGCACCTTTCAAGCCCTAACTCGATCCGTGCAACGTCCGACTAGAACCCGAGGCCCCCGAGGCCACGTCCAAATATATCAACAAGTTTGTAAACATGTGACGGACTCGTTCGAACCCTCAGAACGCGGAAAAGAACACCAAAACTAAGAATCACACCACAAACCAAATCAAATCAACTTATGAACTTCAAGTTCTTCCAACTTGCTCCGAACGCGCCAAATCATACTTAAACTACTCGGAATGATACCAAATTTTGCGTGCAAGTCTTAAATCACTATACGAAACTATTCCTAGGCTCGAAATCCAAAACATACCTCGATAACACCAAAACCTACTCCAAACCAAATTTAAAGAACTTTTAAACCTTCAATAAGCCAACTTTCAAGTTTAGGCAATGAAACGCTCACGAGTCATCCAAAACTCGATCCGGGCAGACGCCCAAGTCTAAAATCATCATACAAACCTATTGGGACCGTCAAATTCTAGTTTCGTGGTCGTTTACTAGAAATGTTGACCCAAGTCAAACTTAACCCTTTAAAGCCAATATTAAAGAACTAAGTGTTCTGATTACAACCTGACTTTTCAAACCGAACTAACCATCCCCTCAAGATACAAAATAGAAAAAGCACACAGGGGAGTCTTATTTAGGGGGACGAGGATCTAGAAAGCAAAATGACCAGTCGGGTCGTTACATTCTCCACCGCTTAAGAAAACTTTCATCCTCGAACGGGTCTAGAATCATACATGGAGTGCTGAATAAGTGTGGATATCTGCCCCGCATGTCATCCTCGGCCTCCCACGTCGCCTCTTTGACTGGTTGGCCTCTCCACTAAACGTTTACCGTAGAAATCTTCTTGTACCTCAACTGGCGATCCTGCCTGTCAACAATGACAACTGGCTCCTCCTTATAACCCAGGCTCTCATCTAGCTGAACCATGCTGAAGTCTAATACATGCGACATATCGGCATGATACTTCCGGAGCATAGACACGTGAAAAACTAGATGAACTCCTGATAGACTGGGAGGTAAGTCAAGCTCATAAGCAACCTACCCAACTTGTCTCAACACCTCAAATGGTCCTATAAACCTTGGGCTCAACTTGCCATTCTTCCCGAACCTCATGATTCCCTTCATTGGCGAGACTTTCAAGAGAACCTTCTCGCCCACCATAAATGATAAATCACGCGCGTAAATCTTCTGTCTGGACTGTGCTGTGTGAAGTCGCTCCTGAATTAATTTTACCTTTTCCAAGGCATCCTTCACCATATCAGTACCATATAACTTAGCCTCATCGGGCTCAAACCATCCGATGGGCGAATGACATTGCCGACCATATAAAGCTCAAATGGAGCCATCTCGATGCTGGACTGATAACTATTGTTGTAAGCAAACTCGGCCAAAGGCAAGAATCGATCCT